ACCATGGCAATCAGAGAACTGTTTGCCATGGTGAAACAGGAGGTTAAAACTGTTAAGATGAGATAGGAAAGACTGGATTCTGTGAATTCTAAATAATCATCGGTTGATCTATCTTCCCTGCTCCTTTCTTTTCAGGCCTGATCAGGATGTGCTTGTCCAAGAAGGTGTACTATTCCACATCTTAACTTGCCAGCTGGATAGTAAATTAGGAGCCAAAGCATCACTAGAGCTCTGCTGCTCAGAAGCAGATGTAGTCTGGCCAGAGCAGAGCAATGAAGTACAAAAGGAAAAGGAAGGCAGGGCAGTTACCATGCCAACAGCCCATTCTCTACCGTGGAAGTAAAAAGCATAGGATATTTGTGAATTGCGTGATTCATACATTGCAAAGAACATGTGTGCTTGAACTAAAATAGCTAAAATTGAAGGAGGGGAATGTAAAAACAATGCAAGAAATAACCCAGGTCCCTGGAGTATCATTTAACATTTCATGAGCTTAATCTCTGGATGGCAAGATGCTTTGGCTCAGGCCTTCATCAAAACAAAATATGCCTAGCCCATCTCCAGTTCCCATTAAACTCACCTAGATAAAGAAAATGTCAATCCAGGTCCCCTTTCTTCCACCCTCACCTATTCCATTTTAGTTTTTAGAGTTAGCCATTTAAGTACCTCAGGATTTATTTTTAAGTTTATTCATTTCATTTCTTTCATGACAGAGAATAAAAAAGAAATAGGTTACCTTTGACAGGGTCTCATATGTTGTGATCTCCCCCACCACCACTACCACCACCAGCCTTCTAGCCAACCAGAAACACAGGCATGCAATTGTGTCATTTCCACCTAGAATCTGCACCATAGTCTTCCATGAGACTCCAGCATTGCAGAGCAGTAACTTACTGCCTGCAACACTATAGCTCAGCCAGTATCTTGGAATTTGAGACAGCCTTTGAACAACATAGCAATACAAGCTTCATTGATAGCAAGAATAACTCTCTTTATCTACTGCCATATTTCTGTAACCTACATACTGCTTAGCCAGCCCACCATCATCACCATCATAACAACAGCGAATACAGAATATTCACTAGGTGCCAGGTCCTCACAACACTATCTAAGGAATAGCTATTATTATTATTATTATGTTACAAGCTGTTGAATCAGCAATTCTAAGAATTAACTCTATAGAAATAATCATGAATGTACACAGGTATCTAACAACAATAATATATATATGTGCTATCACTGTTCTAAGTACTTAATCCTCTTAACAACCCAGCAAGGCAGAGATTACTATTATTAGCTTCATTTTATGGTTGACAAAAATGAGATAGGGGGATTAATTAACTTGCCTAGGGCCACACAGTTAGTATTAGAGCCAAGATTTGAAACCAGTGTCTATGCTTGTGACCACTACGTTATACTATTACAAAAATAATCAGTATTGGTGTTATTTATAGGAGGAATGGGGAAAACCTAGCCATACAAAAACAGAGAACTGGTTTTTTATAAATAAATAAATAAATAAACCATAAAGGGCCAGCAGGTAGTGTGGTGATTAAGGCGCTGGATCCCACAAGGCCAATTCTGCGGTAGAAGTCCAGACCCAGCACCTTGAAAAACACACCAGGGCACGAGTGTGTATGTGCTCAAAATCCCAAAAGGAGAGTGGAGTTAAAGAGACTGTGGAGTGGCCATCTTTCCTAGGGTGATTCCTCACTTTCCCTTTCTCTCTGTCTCTGTTTTTTTCCAGTGAGCACACATATCCTATGGCAAAAGTCTATAAAATTTTTTTAATTGAAAATCATTTTATCAACTTAAGGTTGTAGAAGAGTTAGTGACACAATAATTTGTCCAAAATAGTGTTAACGTGTGATTGAATGTATAAAAGAAATCAAACTTTAAAAATATATATATATAATGAAATAAATAAAACTAAATAAATAAAAAACAATGGATTATTTGCCAAAGTGTTAAAAATGGTTACCACTACGTATTAAAATTATAATTTTTTTGCTCATCTAAATTTTCTAAATGTTCTATAGTAAATACAGTCCTCTTAAAACAAATTAAAAGAAAAATCTAAACATGAGCTAAAATTTTCCTTGCCAATATATAAAGATTATAGTACTTCTGGGGAAAACAAAGAGAGAGAAAGAGAAAGGAAGAACAAGATTTTCACTTAAATTTAATCAAAGGACTATGTCTGGTATTTAAACCAGTGTTTTCCAAAACAAATGGCAGAAATCATTCAGTTTACACACAACAATAATCAAAGAGGCTTGGTTCTACAGTCAAATGTGTGTGGAAAATCCTCAATCAGACAAGTTTATTGCAGGAATTCTTCAAGTATTTAATATGCCAACATACATTTTGAACCTGAGAAGGGGGTACAGTGTATAATATTTTTCAAACTCATTTAGGTACAAAGCTCTGCCTTCCCACAGATCATCCTGAGGGAATCACTGTTCCTTAGAATAGACTTCAGCAAATGCTGAATTACTGGGTTGTCAGAAAAGTCATGACACATTTTTGCATAGAAAAACATATTAGGTCATTTGGAAAGTCATGATGTATTTTCTATGCTTTTCTATATGCAAAAATGCATCATGACTTTCTAGATGACCCAATAGAAAAATATGTCATGACTTTTCCAATGACACAATGTAAAAAACAAGAAGTAGAACTGTTGGAGGATAAATCCAATTCAATGCTCTTGGAGAAAGACACAGAAATCTGGTAACTTGTAACAGAAGCAAAAGACTTAAAATGACTTTCAAAAAATAATTTTTAGAAAAATGAAAGGTGCTAATAACAGAGAGTAAGGGAGTAAGGCAAAATCCTTTGTGCATATCTATTCTCTGAGCTCTTCTTTTTAACGGTCAGTGGAGTTGGTTACACCAGGCAAAATAAGGCCTGTTAAAACACATGAACCCTTAGATCAGACAAAAGACACAAGCCATCCCCAGAGAAACTAAAGGAGGAACTTTAATAGTGACTAGGGCACACAACACAAATTCCTTAGTGGTAAGAGAACCATGCCCATAGGCATGAATACTACCCAGTGCCTAAGACAACTATGGGCAGAGTTTCCAGGGAATCTGGCAAGAAGCCTAATAAAATTTGAGCAATAGAGCATAAAACAAATTTAATTTAACTTGGTTTTTAATGTCAAATACTAGGCCCTGCAGAAAGGATAAATGATGACACAAACACAGAATCAGAACTTTTGTTTAAAAGTAGTTCAATCCCCCATTCAACAGACACTTCTTTGGCTAGATGTCATTTTTCTCTGCCTAGAAAGGTTTCTTCCTGCCCTTCATTTCTTTAACTCTTTCTTGTCTTTCACAATTAAGTTCAAGCATCACCCCACTTTAGTAAGTGTTCTCTGAAATCCCAGTATGAGATAGTTGCTTCTACAATACCCTTTAAGAAACTATGAAAAGAAAGAAACAAACAAACAAACAATTATTGCAGGCCAGTAGATAGCATAGCAGTAGCATCACTGGACTCCCACATGGCTGACCACAGTTTGAGTTCCAGACCCGGTGGCTTAAAATTCAAGCCGAGCATGTGTGCATGTGTACCCAAGATTAGGAGGAGGATGGAGGATAAGGGATTGTGGTGTGGACCTCCTCCCTTGGGGGTGATTTCTCACTTTCCCTCTCACTTGTCTCTATTTCTTTCTCTCCAGCAAGTATATATGCCCTAAAGCAAAAATCTCTAATAAAAAATAAATGTTTAAACAAACCAATTATTGCGTTCCTACCACTTGTCAGGCACCTGATACATGACTCCTTCATAAGACTTGATTGCACTGTAGAAGGATTATTTTCATTGACCTATTATTACATTTTTTTTACTTTGTCTACCTATCTACCCATTCCCGGGCCTAGCCAGTACCTCTGGGCATCTTTGGTGAATGAATGGAAACGCCTATGAAGTGCCAGGTGCTAGAGATCAAAATTATTCAAAGTTTCCCCGGCCTTCATGAACTACAGAGAAAGGAGGAGTTAAACAATTACATCTCACCACAGGATGAAGTCTGCACCAAATAATGCCATGAGCAAAGGAAGCTTCTGAGTTATCCCATAATGAAGAGATTGTATGTACAGGCTTCATACAGAAAAACATGTCCAGTACCCTGAACCTGTCTTGCAACAAATTCTCAAATGTGCACATTGGTCTTACAAATATTCTGCACACTTCTCACCATTTATTTTGGAGAATATGATTACACTTACATTTCATTTCTTTCTTAACAGAGATAAATCATGCTTAAGGAGTTAGTATTCTTCCATTCCTGTGGCTGCCTTGCCAAGCTGGTTCAACCCAAGGATGAGAGATGGAGGCCGAAAGAAAATACATGACATCCACAACTGTTGATCTGCAATAGTGTGTGGGTGTTGCAATCATCCTATTATTGGTTTTTAAGCAGCTGGTTCCACTGAAAATTTTGTTTGTGAACAGATCTGCTGTAACCATAAAGGATTTTCTCCTGTGATTAATCACTAAAATGATAGGTGTTAAAAAAAAAATACAAAGAGATTTCTGGCAAAGACATTCTGTCTCAGAGTATGAAAAGGGAAGCCAAGTGGGTCAGCCACAGTAGCACAGCAGTAACACAATGTTCTGCAATGCTGAGACCATTATCTGAAGGTCCCGAGTTCGTGTCCAAAAATCTCCCCATGCATGCTGAGTGTGCCCATGCACGCCTGTGATCCTGGCTGGCTAAGGCTAGGGGTGGAATTGCAGCATGAATATGCTGTGGAGTGTGCCCATCTCTCTTTCTCTCTTTTTTTTCTCTCTCTATCTCCTTCTCTCTTTCATAGAAGAGATGAATAAATACACTTTGAAGGGAGAAAAATAAAAGAAGCCATGTAACAGAGTGGATGGGGAAGTCAGAATTTGCTAGGTAGTGATGTTCTGACTTCTCTTCTTAATCCCTGATGAAGCTCACCCAGAAATTTCCTTCTGAAAGAGCACAGGCAAGATAGGAAAAGTACCTCCGCAGTTCGTTCATAACCTTGAATGCCTTCCCCATGTGGGCAGGATTGACAGTGATCGTCTTCTGGTTCTTCTCATCACCCTCAGCCTGTACTGAGGCCTGGGATGCAAGCTGGGAACTCAGTTTGATGCTGTGATGAAGAAAGAAAAGGGAGGGAAAGAACTGATAGTAAGCCCACTCATCCAACTGCTACAAGTCCATGCATCTGCCCTCCTTGCCACAGACCCAGCAAGGAAAGAAATGCACCGAGTCGGCCCAAAGTAATTTATTCTAAAGACAACCAGGCCCTAGCTCAGTTTCTTTCTCAAAGAACTATGTGACTTTTTTTTTTTTTGAGAGATTTTCATTGTAGGGCGCGTGCGCTCGCCAGACAGACAGAGAGAGACATAGAGACAGAAAGCGAGAAATCACCCCCCAGGGGGGATGGTCACGCCGCAATCCCTTCTCCTCCATTCTCCTCTCGGGATCTTGGGCACGCACGCACACGCACCCAGCGTGAGTTTTAAGCCACCGGGTCCGGGACACGAACCGCAGTCGACTACGTGGGAGTCCAGCGACATAGCCATTACGCTAACTGCTGGTTCCCAGAACTATGTGACTTTGTGGCAGGTCTTTTCCTTCCATCTTACTATCTCTAAAGTGGAAGGGGATGTTTGTTCATTCAGCAAACATGTAATGAAAGCTACTCTGCTATGCACTGCATTTAAATGTAAGGGAAACATGACAATAAATAAGGCACAGTACAAGGCACAGTCCCTACCCTCACAAAACTTAGAATTCAGTGGAGGAAGAAGCCAGGTAAATACTCAAACATATCTTAAGTATTATGATTTGGTAGAAGCTACTGAAACACAGGAGATGGGCAACTATTCTAGTGATAGCAAGTTGAAGAAAATTTCCTAGAAGCAGAGACCTAAAAGAAAAACAAAAATTAGCCAAGTAAAAAATACAGAGAATACTTTAGGCAGTGGAAGCACTATGTACAAGGAAGTATGCGGAGGAGAAAAAGAGCACAGTACCTTCAAATTAATGGCAAATTCAGTAAAACTAGAGCACACAGAGCTCTAGAGCAAAGGTTAAAAATTGAGCAGTCTTGGGAACCAGCAGTTAGCGTAATGGCTATGTCGCTGGACTCCCACGTAGTCGACCATGGTTCGTGTTCCGGACCCGGTGGCTTAAAACTCACACCGGGCACCTGTGCGTGCGTGCCCAAGATCCCGAGAGGAGAATGGAGGAGAAGGGATTGCAGCGTGACCATCCCCCCTGGGGGGTGATTTCTCACTTTCTGTCTCTATGTCTCTCTCTGTCTGGCGAGCGCACGCGCCCTACAGTGAAAATCTCTCAAAAAAAAAAAAAATTGAGCAGTCTTGTGACACACAAGCAAAACTAAGGCATTTAGATTTCTTTCTGAAAAGTGAAAAGTCAGGGACCAGCAGTTAGCATAATGGCTATGTCACTGGACTCCCATGTAGTCGACTGCGGTTCAAGTCCCAGACCCAATCGCTTAAACTCACTCCAGGTACGTGTACGTGCATGCCCAAGATCCTGAGAGGAGAATGGAGGAGAAGGGACTGCAGCATGGCCTTCCCCTCAGGGGGTGGTTTCTCGCTTTCTATCTCCCTATCTCTCTCTGTCTTTCTGGTGAGCGCACACGCCCTATAGCAAAAACCTCTCCAAAAAAAAAAAAATGAGAAGTCAATAAAAGGGTTTATTTTTTTTTAGATTTATTTATCATTATTGTTATTTTTAATTTGACCATAGCAAGACAGAGGACAGAGAAAGAGAGAGAGAAAGTGAGAAAGCAAGCCACCAAGTCCAGGACTTGAACCATGGTCAGTCATGTGAGAGTCTAGAGCCTTTAACTACCATGCTACCTACCGGCCCCTCAAAGGGTTTTAAATAGAGAAATGAGACAGGAAACAAGTGAACAAATTTGTGTTTTAGAAAGATCACATTGGCTATGTTATAGAGAAAGGTGGCACAAGAGTGAAAGCTTTTGGGAAACCAAAATCCCTAGAAAGACAAGGTATTATAATTACTATGAGAAAATGTTGACGGATCAGCAGATGGTATAATGGTTACATGGTACTCCCACATCGTCGACCACAGTTCGGGTCCTAGACCCAATAGCTTAAAACTCATGCCAGGTACGTGTGCATGCATGCCCAAAATCCTGAGAGAATGGAGAAGGGATTGCAGCATGGCCATCTCCCTGGAGGGGTGATTTCTCACTTTCTATTTGTCTCTCTCTTTCTGTCCAGTGAGTACACTCACCCTACAGCAAAAAAAACCTCTCTTTACAAAAAATTTTAAAAGAGATTTTTTTAAAAAGTTGTCTGTGTAGACTACATGTGCAGGTGGTGACTAGCAAGAGTGACCCATAATTTCAACATCCTCTGTACTAAAATCAAGACAAGGCACTCAAATCCTGATGGGATGCCAGTTAGCTGCCTAACTACTGAGCAGCTTGTCTCAACTTAATGGGGAGGGGGTGCAGAAGCAAAACTATGACCAAGGAAATTACTTTCTCCCCTAAACTAGTAAGATGATTCAGCTACAAGGTTAAATTGAGGCCTTGGATTACCTCTGCTTAAGTGTCACTTTACAAGTAGAAAAACAAATTCTTCTCCAGTGTGTAGATTTGGGGACCTACCATTCTCTCCAACTCTAGGCCACCAAGAGTAGTCTCCTTTGACTTTCCCTAATGGGCCTCTGTCTGTACTACCACCTTGCTTTGCAAACTAACTAGAAAAGAGGGCTGCTATTGTAAGAGAATGTTCTAGAGGCCTGAGTGCCTCTATAGAGCTCACACTGAGATTTATAACTATAACAACATCCAAATATAACTAGCATGCCAGACTAATGCTTCTCTGACCAAAGCAGACTACTTTTATTGGCTTCTTTCACTACCTTCAGAGTTCAGCATGAAAATGTAACCCATGAACAACTGAACTATAAGACTGTTTGGATTCTGGGGGCAAGGAAATTAGCTGGACAGAGGAAGATAAATATCAAGAAATATACAAAGGAAGATGATTAAAGTTGTATGTTTAAGCAGGTAAAAATAACAAAATAACTAGGAAAGGAAGTACTTAGCAAAGTTGAAAAATTTCATGTAAAAAATCCCACAAGCATAATTCCTTAGAGTCCTTTTTTACTCCAAGGCCAGAAAGATATTTTTATTTTCTACAAAAAGTTTAACATTTTGGGACCAACAGATGGCATAATTGTTACATTGCTGGACTCCCACATGGCCAACCACAGTTCAAGTCCCAGACCTGAAAGCTTGAAAATCACACTGGATGTCTGTGCATTCATGCCCAAAATCCTAAGAGGAGAATGGAAGAGAAGGGATTGCAGTATGGCCATCCACCCAGGGGGAGTGATTTCTCGCTTTCTATCTCTGTTTCTCCGGCAAGCACATGCGGCCTATAGCAAAAAATCTCTCAAGAAAAATAAGTTTAACATTTTTGTTTTTTGACATTTAAGCCCTTATTTTTATCTAGTATTGGCTTTTACATCATAATGGGAAATAGGGATCTAATTTTTTTCCATAAGTGCCACTTACTGAATAGTTATTTTTCCCACTCATCCATCATTCTACCTTAAGTCACATATTAAAGTTCCTGATATACAGTTATCTATTTCTGGACCCTAATCTATTTCACTGGTCAGTTTGTCTGCCTCTGTACATTAGTATCACATCATTTTTGTAGTTTCATAATAAGGCCTATAACTGATACAGCAAGTCCCCAATCCTACTATTATTCTTAAGAAATGTCTTGGCTATTTTAATTACTATATTCTTTCATATAAATTCTACTATCAGCTTGTCAAGTTCCATGAAAAACTCTGATGGGATTTAGATCAAAACTGCACTGATTTGGGACAACCCATGGCATGGTGGTTAGGCAGCCAGATAGCCAACAGCACAGTTTGAGTTCTGTACCCAGCAGTTTAAAAAAAAAAAAACAAAAAAAAACATGCTGAAGATGTGTGTGTGTGTGCATACCCAAAATCCCAAAAAGAGGAGAAATGGAGGGGAAGGGACTTTGGCATGACCATCCCCCATGAGAGCTGATTTCTCATTTTCTTTCTTTCTTTCTGTCCCCACTCCCCCCCCCCCACAGCAAGCACCTGCACCCTCTGGCAAACAATAACATTTTTAAAGGTACTGAATTTATATATCAATTTGGATAGAACCAACATCTTTCTGATAAAGTACCTCCCCACCCATAAATATGGAATATCTTTCCATTTCCTTAGGTCCTCTTTAATGTCACTCAAACTTTTCTATTTTTCGGTATGAAGGCTTACATCTATTTGATTAGATATATTCCTATGTACTTTATGGTTTTGTTACTATAATAAAATGATGCCTTTTATTTTTATTGTTATGGTTTATAACATACAAATTGATCTTATATCTACTCACCTTACCAAATGTTCCTGTTATTTATATTTTACCACATATTCAATTAGGTATTCTGTATAGACAACCATATTACCTGCATATAATGCCAGGGCTATTTTCCTCCTTTCCAATTCTTAGGTCTCTAATTTTTTTTTAAGAGGTTTTTGCTATAGGGCGCATGCGCTCACCAGACAGAGAGAGACAGAGAGACAGAAAGTGAGAAATCACCCCCCAGGGGGGATGGCCATGCTACAATCCCTTCTCCTCCATTCTCCTCTTGGGATCTTGGGCAAGCATGCACATGCGCCCAGCATGAGTTTTAAGCCACCAGGTCTGGGACGTGAACCGTGGTCAACTATGTGGGAGTCCAACGACATAGCCATTACTCTAACTGCTGGTCCCACTAATTTCTTTTTGAAAGAAATTTTGCATGATAGGATGGCAGATGATGTTAAATAGAAAGGGTACTAGTGAATATTCTTCTCATTTTCCAGATTTTAAAGATGTTTCCTATGTTTCCCCATTGTGTATGTTTGTTATAAATTTTGGTAGATGCCATTTATCAGGTTAAGAAAATTCCCTTTTACCTTTATTAAGATTTTGTTGGGACCAGCAGATGGTATAGTGGTTATGTCACTGGACTCCCACATAGTTGAACATGGTTTGAGTGCCGGACACAGTGGCTTGAAATTCATGCCAGGCATGTATGTGTATGC